GGCAATGGGGTTTAGTGACTTGCCCAGGGTCACACAGCTAGTGTCAAGTGCCTGAAGCCGGATTCGAACTCAAGTCCTCCTGACTCCAGGGCTGGTGCTCTATCTACTGTGCCATCTAGCTGCCTACACACACACTTTTTAAAAAAATCTAGATTGGATGGTGAGTTCTCTGTGCATCTACATTTATTTCTTCAGACAATTCCTGTTTTACCCCTGTACTGTAATTTTCCCTTTGTGTCTTCAAAAGTTCATTCTTGAGAATTTCCCACCCCTCTTAGGATGATTTCTCTTGTAAAAATTTTAGAACATGGGATCTTATCTATACTTCTCCTGAATCCTTTGAAATCTACTTTCCTAGACTATAATTTACATATCAGACTATGTCTAGCTTTCCTTTCTTCTACCACAAACTCTAGGAGGGAGTGATCATTTCTCAGTATGCCTATCATTTTCATTCTAGTAAACAATTCTTCCTTGTTAGTGAGAATCAGATCTAGAGTAGAATTTCTCTTTGTGTTTTCCACAGTTTTTTAAGGTTGAAATTTTCATTAAGACAAGTTAAGAAGTTATAAGCTATTTTGTGTTTGGAGAGGAGCAGGGAGAGGGAGATTCAGAGGAAAGAGAGAAAGAGGAGAATTATTTCTAGATAATTAAAGATGTCGGGAAAATCGGAGTCCCCCATCTCTACTATACTATGTCATGCTTTCGCACTAGGCTTATAATTCATCTCCCTAATTCCTTATCTATTTCCTCTGCCTAGGTGGCTAATACTCACATCTTTTTCTCCTTCAATTTATCTTTACTCTCAAGCGTTCTCTATAATGCTTTTCCCTTCTGGTTTCTGCATTTTGTCACAGTTATACCTTCTCAATATAGAATACTTTCCCACACCTCTAGATAGCCTTTATCCAAAAAGAAATAAAGCTTCCACTTAGCAAGGATACTTTCTCCTCTTTTTATCTTAAAAAATCACCTATACTCCATTAGAATGGGCTATCTCAATTTAATTTAACAAACATTTATTGAACATCCACTATATCCTAGGCATTATGCTTGAAGCAAAGAGAGATTCAATGATAAGGAAGATATAGTCACTTAAATGGTCAAATAATATAGACAATGTTTAAAAGAGGAAATTCAAATTATTAATAATAATTTGAAAAATACTTAATATTAATATAGCTAAATTAAAATAACCATGAGGTACAACCTCATATCAGGGTTTAGAATATGGAAGACTCATTCCTGAGTTCAAATCTGCCTCAGACTCACTAGCTGTGTTACCCTGGTCAAGTCACTTAACCCTGTTTGCCTCAGTTTCCTCATCTGTAAATGAGCTGGAGAAGGAAATGACAAACCACTCCAGTATCTCTGCCAAGAAAACCCCAAATAGGGTACATAACTGAACAATTACTACCACCACCTCATATCCATAAAATTGACGTATGTGTGTGTGTGTGTGTGTGTGTGTGTGTGTGTGTGTGTGTGTGTAAAAGTGATGAAACTCTATGCTTGTGGTAGCATGGAGGGATTATTGGTGAAATTGCAAACCTGTAGAATCTTTCTGGACAATAATTGAGCAATACACAGTAAAAATTACCTCTCTCCCTACTCCGGCCATCAGACCCTTTAACTCAATCATTTCATTGTTGATGATAGACTGCGAAACATAAAGGAACTACACAGTCAAAGATTTTCATAGCATCATTATATGTAATTACAAAAAACCGGAAACAACCATGTCCAACAACAGAGGAATGGTTAAATAAGTTGTAGTATATTTACGTAATGGCATACTACCATAAAACTAGGAACGACGAGGAAGGAGAATACAAATAAGTATGGAAAGTCCTTTATGAAATAATGCAAAATGATAGAAAAGGAGAATGACGGTGTACACAGTATGACCAGGAACGAGAAAAGAATGCTGATAAGGACTTGGAAAGACTGGAACAATTGTTCTGATATTTTATATGCTGAAGTTAATTTTGTTTATAGAGATGATATGGAAGAAGTAGAAGTCCTTGAAAGCCATTGAGATTGGGTGAATCTGCTTCCAAGGAGTCTTGATGCAAAGACCTCGTGGTCAGCTGCTGAGCCAGGAGGAAGTATACAACTGGCTAGAGTGATCCCTCTCCTTGCTGATGGTGAGCAAGGCCAGGCCAACAGGTGGCTCCAGCTGCGGAGATGTGGGACTAGCAGCCTACAGGGCTGATACTCAGCCATGAGGGCGGTGAGTGACATTCGTGTTGTGATTGTTACCTTGTTTGTGTTCCATCATCGTCAGAGGGGAAGGTGCACTGGAGAGGACTCCCACTTGAAAGAATGAATCACTAGAGATATAAGAACGAGTTTGTCCCGGAGATCAGTTTGAGGAGGCTTGGCCCGGCTGAGCACCACCAGCAGCCCAGGTGCTGTGGCTGGCAGCACAGGGCGTGACCCTGGTCAGCAAATACTTCCTAGCAACTGCTTTAAGTATGAACTTATTCTCCCCAGGGATCAAGAGGAGAATGTGCCCAATTTCAGGGGACTGTTTATACTTCAGGTCTTGCTATTTCTTTTCAGTAAATATTTTGTGAAAGTTAATTGAGGGCAACTAGGTGGTGCAGTGGCTAGAGCAACCAGGCCTGGAGTCTGGAAGACTCAAGTTCAAATCTGACCTCAGATATTTACTAGCCGTGTGACCCTGGGCAACTCACTTAACTCTGTTTTCCCGAATCCTGAGATGGAGAAGGAAATGGCAAACCACTCCAGTACATTTGCCAATAAAACCCCAAACGGGGTCAAGAAGAGTCAGACACAACTGAACCACAATGAAAAAGCTGACTGATGTTAACTGGTTAAGCTGACAGTGAGATGCTAATCACTGGGTCGAGTCACTGCTATCTATGAGATAACTGGTAATTTGCTATTGGGACGAATCTGTCAGACTGGGGCTCAAGGCAGTGGCATTAGAAAGACCTTCCCAAGTAGCTAGCTGCCATTCACATACCTGACGTTCCAGTGTGTGGGAGCCGGATAAGGAGGAAGATCCCCAGAATTTATGTTGCTACACTTATATATACGTGCTTATTGTACAAGCACCTTTTAAGTAGGGGGTTGTTTCTTTTATTATAGCTGTATTTCCAGTGGCTGACACAGAGGGGACACTTACTAAACAACGAACGACTGATTGAGGGGGAGCATTATGTTATTGAGGCTAGAAAGACATGTTGAATAGAGGAATGAAAAAGCATTTATTAAGCACTTTTGAAGTACCCAGGCTCCATGGGGAGTGCTGGGAATATATAGAAACAAGGGCTTAAATCTGAGCCTCCAAGGATCTTCCATTTTAACAGGGAAAGGCAGTACAGGATGGTACCAAGGTTGAGGAATTTTAGTCTGGGCATCACAGTGAAGGTGAACTGAGGGATCTGATGGGCACACCTGCTCCACAAGCAATGGGGGTGTTGATTCAATAACTGTGCCTACGGCAGGAGAGCTGGGGAGCTTATGTGTAACCGTGCATATGGTCAGATGGCCTGGGATGTGAAACTGTGATCTGGCTGGGGTCCAGCTAAGTGAGTTTGCATCCATTTACTCATCAAACAAGACAGCTCAATCCCAAAGTGAAGAATTCTCAAACTGGATGGATTAATTGTCTCGGGAAATGGGACTGGCTGAGGAGGGATCAGTCAATAAAATTTATGAAGAGCCTACTATGTGCCAGGCATAGGGATACAACAGTGCCTGGCCTCAAGGAGTTCACAATCCAACCGGCGAGACACGTAAACAAATCTGTCCACATAAGCCATGGAAGGGATAAATAGGAACTAACAGACAGAGAGAAGGCACCAGAATTAAGCTAGGATGGGAAAGGCTTCCTGTGGAAGATGAGATTTTAGCTGGGACTTAAAAGAGGTCAGGGAAGCCAGGAGGCAGAGAGAGGAGGGAGAGCCCGGGCACGGAGGGCAGCCAGAGACAGTGCCCGGAGCCAAGAGGTTCATGGCACAGCCAGGAGGCCAGGTCACCGGAGGGAAGACCAGGGAAGCCTGGAAAGGCGGTAGGGGCTTGGCTACGAAGGGCTCTGAATGCCAAGCTGAGTGGGAAATGAAGGAGGATGGCCCCAGGCGGAGGGAGCCCAGAGGCGGACGGCCACCCCCCCCCCCCCCCGCAAAAGTCCGGGCCGGAGGCGATGCGGGGCGGAGGGCTGGCAGCGTCAGAGGGGAGGGGGCGGCACAGAGGTGCGGGGCGGACTAAGCGGGAGAGAGCCCGAGCCGGAGGTGGGGGGCGAAGCGTCGGGGGCGCCGGGCCTCACTTTCCCTTCTGATTAGACACCTGGAGAAGTACGCCCCCTCCCCGGCCTGAAACGGGGTCACGTGTTTTTGGTCGCAAGACCGAGGGACTTTTGGGCTGGGAAGGGGAAAACGGGGCTCCAGGTGGGATCAGAAGTCGCGGGTTCGAATCCTGCCTCCGACACCATGGGGGGGCGTGTCTTGGAGGGAAGTCACTTTAAACTCGGGGCCTCAGTTTCCTCAAAAGTAAAACGAAGGCTGTTGCTCTTGATCAACTATTTCCCCCCCATCCCCCCGCCCTGCTGGTACAGACTCAGGGTCGGCGGGGTCGGGGGTCACAGTGGACCTAGGAGTCCCTCCAGCCCAGCCCCCTCCCTTGGTCGACAAGGGCTCTGAGATCCGAGGGGGCGGCCCGAGGCCAGTGTCAGCGGTGGGATTCGAACGCAGGCCCTTTGCCTCTGAAATCGGAGCTCTTCCCCCTGTACCGCATCTGCCCCAGCACTGTCAGGTAGCAGGGGACTCCAAAGGTGCCTCCCACAGAGGTTTCTTAAGGCTGTGCCAAGGGTTGAAGGGGAGTAGGGAGAGCGCTGGGTCTGGAGTCAGAGGTCCTGGATTCGAATCCTACCGGTCACATGCCGGCCTGGAGGGAGCGCTCGCTTCACACTCAGAAGACGCCACTTACCTCTCGGGGCCTCCGCGGCCTCATCGGTCAGGTGACCAGGCTGGACACCGGCCTCCGAGCACCCGCCCTTCTCCACACCCGCGAGCCCGAGGGCCACCCACGAACCCCGCCTCAAGTTACTCCGCCCAGCCTCCGCCTCTCGGAGCCCCACCCCCGGCGCTCTCCGAGGAGGGGGCGGGGCCTCGCGGCCGTCGCCATGGCAACCGCGACAAGATGGCTTCCGTGATTGACGGGATAAAAGGTCACGACCACGAGGCGCTGAGCCTAGAGCAGCTTATACAGCTGCGGAATTTCAAGGTGGGTGCAGCCCCAGCGTGGGGAGAGGTGTGTGGGGTGTGTGTGGGTGAAGGTAACGTGAACACCGTGTGTTGGATGGGTCCAGAAAGGGTCTTCCCCTCCCCCCTCCACACACGGCGCTGGGGCTCGGCCCGGGGGGCTGGGCCAGGCTTCCTCTTCCCCGCCTCGTCCTCGCCCCCTCGCTGGGCGCCCGGACTCCGGGTCAGGCCTTCTCTCCCCGCTCAGGGAATGTGGGCTCAGTCCCGGGGGTGGGGGTTGGGCAGGGCTTCGTCTCCCCCGTCCCCTCCCTCCCCAAGCAGGGAGCGTAGGGCTCAGTCTGGGGGCGGGGCCTCCTCCTCCCCCGGTCCCCCATGGTGGGCGGGGCCCCAGCCGCGCCTTCCCTCTCCCCGCCCAGATCCGCACGCGCATCGCGGACGAGCAGTACCTGCGTTCGCACAAGGAGGTGGAGTTGCTGCTGAGCGGCTTTTTCAGGTAGGAGTCCGGGAGGCCTGTTAAACCCGGCATCAGCCGCTCGGGTGCTTTGGGGGGAGGACGGGACGCGCGGCCTCGGAGAGCCCCCTGCTCATCCCCGGCCACGGCCCGAGCCTGGTTCTGCAGCCGCCCCGAGGCCGGCGCCGGTCCCCAGAGGTAAGTTAAACTCTTGAAACACCAGCAACTTCACAACCACCGTGATAATGGCTGGGGGTCACTGCTAAGTGGCTTCGGTGAAAACGGGACCATTCCTCAGATTGCTTGGAAATGACCCCCACCCCAACCGGCCCTTCCACCTGGCGTCGGCAGCGAACGGCTGTGACGGCCACAAGACGAGGAGCAGGATGACAGATCTCCCGGTAATGAAAAGCGCACTAAGACGCTGTCTACAAGGGCCCAATGAAACCAAAGACAAGATGTCTTAGTGCAAAAGCTGACTAAAGAAAAAAGGAGAATGAGTTGGGGGCAAGGGCGCTTTTCACGGAAACGAGGGGCTCTCTTTGCTAGGCCCCTTTGCCTTCCTTTTAAAGTCATTTTCTTAATTATTTGGGACCCTTAGGGGGTGGACAGAAATAGATTCAGATCTATCTATGTTACTTCGTAAACAGTATTTTTTCAATCTAAGAAAAGGTTGAAGTTGTGGGCCAGAGGAGTTTTGAGGACTCACTGTCAACGTTATCTATTCACTGCCACCACCACGCATCATCAAAAAGTTATCTGAAGGAGTGAAAGTAGGTTGTCTTTGTTCGAATAATCATGCAATTCAAGTCAACGATGATTCACCGAGACCAGAGTTAAATCCACATTAATAATCTAGCTCTGCCGAGGGGTTGGACTATTTTGGGGAAGTGTGAAAGGCAGTCATAACTGCATGTCAGGTGAGCTTTTCCCACTTAGCTTGAAGAATTTCCAGGAGGCTGGGTCACTGAGAATTGGCTGTGTCTGTAAATTAGGGGATACAGTAAGGACAGAGGATTCATATCCCTGCCCCCTTGGCCCTGAGGGGAAGTAGTGTGAGTAGTTGCTATGGAACATGTTTGTCACTGGATGACTCCTGATTGTGCCCTTAAAGTCCTTCCAGCAACCTCTTTGGCCCCTTCCTAATCCTCTTTCCTCTGTGCTCTCAGGGCCGGTAAGATGAGAAGCAGTGGAAAGGGAATATTTCAGGTTTGCCTACTGTCTTTATTGCTGGGGAGCAACAGAATGAAACATATTCAGTTTCATTTTTTTGGATGCTTCCGATGGCCAGAGAAAGACTGCAGAATTCCCACCCCAAATGCCTGCCCTTCGCTCTTTGCAGGGTTTAACTTGGTAGTATTTAGCTCCAGGACTGACCTAAGTTGTGTGGCACTTTCAATTGGATTCCCCATAATCTTACACTGGTGCAGAGAGATCTTCCTACTTGGATCTTTTGAATCCTACTGTTTTACTGTTATTCATTTACAAACCTCAGATATGTACTGTCATATATGTAAAACATGCCTGTGTATATAAACACAATAGACAGTTTCAAACTTAGAGATAAAGCAGGGAACTAACTTATTTTACATAGCTTAAAACCTCAGGTTTAGTCTGAGGTACACAATGTATTAGATAGTAGTTTTCTGTCTTTCTCTTTTATTAGACAAAAAGAGGAGGTCAAAATCCATATGGCTGTGCAGTTAAGGGGTTCCCAGATATAAAAGTGTATTACTTTATTTAGTCAAGGCCTGAGACGGATGTGTGTGGTTGGTGCTTGAGGGGAAGTCCAAAAACTGGGAAAGTAAGGAAAAATGAATCGTTATAACTGCTGGCTGATACAGCACCACCTGTATTCTACATTTCCCAGTATAAAACAGGGTGGGAAGCCATGGTAACCTTTTCCTTTTAGAGAATTTCACCTCAGTCTGTTGGAGGACTTTCTTCCATTTCCAATTTTAAAATGTTAATCATTGAGAAAATGGGATTATTTTAAACCAACCTGGCCCATTCCACAAGGTGTGGGATACCTGTGTGTGTTTCATTTGAAAGCAGGAATTCTTAATCCGGGGGTCCAGGGGCCATAAGAGGTCTGTGGATAGACTTCAGGAGGCTCATGAACTCAGATGGGGAAAAATTATATCTTTACTTCAAAGAATTGGTTTTCTTTGTAATCCTAAGTATTTTATGCATTTAAAAACATGATTCTGAGAAGGTGCTTTAGGACATAAGGTTCTAGAGCCCAGAGTAGAACAGCATAAAAATGTTTGGTTTTTTTTTCTGTCAAGAACCAATCAGGTTATAATTCATTTGGAAATAAAAAGGACTTCCAATAGTTACGCTATGGATTAACCTGCTTTTTCTTTCTGATGAGAATACCTAATGAAGTCAAGAATTTCTTATTTTTAAGTCTTTTTTTTCCTTCCCTTACCCTTTCGTATTCTCCAGAGAAATGCTTTTGAAAAGGCCAATGGATATCCAAGAGTTTGCTGCCGGTGAGACTATCATTTTTTGGTGTTTGATCAAATCAGGGAAAAGCTATTGCAGGTTTAGATTGATTGGCAGAATCTCTGCAATATGGGGTCTACTTGGAATCCTGGAAAGTAGGGGCCCTTTTCTTTCATGGTCATTTCCTTAGACTACAGTCAGGCGAGAGAGGAGGCAGAACCTCCCAGGGGAGGTATTTGTTAAGTGCTACATCAGGGCCTCCCTGCACTCAAATGTTGTTTGCTGTTTCTGTGCTTTTGAATGGGGGGGGGAGGAGCCCTGCACTCCATCCTGGGATAGACCTCCGCCTCTTATAACCCTGGCTTTCTTCAGGGCCTAGTTCAGGAAGTGGCACCTGAACTAAATGCTAGTTAAACAAAGGACCACACACTCACAAGGGAGGCACTGGCATCACCATCTCTGGAAGTCTTTAACGGAAGCAGAGCTCTTCATGCAGTACTGTTTGGTTAGGAGGTGGTGGATGTGCTGGCCAGATGACCTCTTGGTTCCCCTTCTGGCCTGAAGAATTAGTAGCAGGTATCTTTAGTCCTATCTAAGCAGATCTGTGCTACCAAGCAGATACTGCCTGATCCATACTCTGTCTGTAGAAAACCTTGCTTTGTTGTCTTCCTGTGTTCTGGCTCTCCCCAGTGAGGAGATGTTCTCAGAGGGGGTGTGAAATATAAAATTCAGGAGCCAAAAAGCCCAGATAATCCATCTTCAGAATGTTCCCTGGGCTTCAGCAGGCAGATAAGCAAATAGAGTTCAACCAAGGGCAGCTTAGTCTGTGGAGACTAAATCATAAGTGATGTTGAGATTAGGCTCCCTGTCTTATAGTAACATAAACTGTCTACACTGTGTCCTTTTCCCCCACTCAAATGACTTCCTGTCTTTGCTTCTTAACCCAGAGTATTTCACAGACCCAACGCTTCCTGAGAAGATAGAGGCGAAGCTAATTGAAAAACAGAAGCAATAGCAATTAGCGGAACCGTGATGTTCTGAAAGCACAGGTGAGGGAAAATCTAGTTTTTGGAGTGTTACCTGCACCCACTTTGCTTTTATGAAAATATGCACTGTTGTGTCCAAGGCCAAAAAGAATCTCGGCAGAAGACCCAAATTTAAAATATTTGATATTTCAATTTATTGAGGTTGTTGGTGGAGGGGAAGAGAGCAAGTAGAGTCACTTAATGTGACAGGAGTGGGGAACAAACCTGTGGCCTTCGAGGTCCTTGGGTGCTGCCTTTTGACTGAGTCCAAGTTTACAGAACAAATCCTTTTATTTAAGGGGATTTGTTCTGTGAAGTTTAGATTCAGAGGGCCGCACTTGAGGACCTAGAGGGTCACATGCGGCCTGGAGGCTGCAGGTTCCCCACCCTTTTGTTAGGAGAAGCAAGAAGTATTTAACCTAGTGAGACAGGAGCAACTGAAGGCATGAAGAATAAATGTAGGGAAAAGGGACAGTTTTGGTGAGCATCGAGTCTGGTGAATTTTGCTTTTCCTGTTCGATTCCAGACTTTTGCCACCTCCTTGGCAGGGAGGTGCTCGAGGGGTCTGTCCCACACAGTGCTAATGATTCACCCCTCTTTTCTGTGTTGGGATGGGATTCTTCATGGCGGAGCGTCAGGAACTAACAAGGTTATTTTCTAGTGCAAACACACCAGTGGCAACAGTTCAGTTTTGCTGTTAGGGCTGGTGCAGGTTTTTTAATCTAAAGGATTTCCGAAATAACTTTTTAAGACTGACCTGTTTGGAGGAGTGGGGCAAACTCCATACTGCTTGTGTAGCTAAACCTGTTCCTATTTCACAGGGTCATATGAAGATAAGAAGTTTTTTCCATCATCATGGGTTTGTAAGTTACCCTGGACTTTGACCCTTGTTATAAAGCTCTGCATTAAAAAAAAAAAAAACTTGGTTTTCCCTACTGTATTTCATCGCCATCATCTTCCTCCTGAACCCCTGTTCTGTTCCTTTTACTGACAAGATCAGGAGCAGGTTATTCTGTTTCACTGCAGAATCTCAAATGACTCCCTCATTCTGGAGACCTGTGTACCTTCTGCACGTTCAGGCCCAGCGCCTGGCCATAACACACTGGATGTTGGTTTTGTGGGTGCAAAAATAGGTGGGGATTTCTTACAGGGACACAGAGCAGAGGCAAGTCAAGTCCACACTAGTATTAGCTGCTTTTTATTCTTCACTATTAGCTGACAGAGAACCTTGTAACAATGGGGGGTGACGATCAGCTTTTTATCTCCGAAAAGGCAAGAATAGTGCGGAGGGCAAAAGGCAGTGAGGCTAGAAGCACTTCCATAGTGTTGAGTGTTATAAAACATGGAGAACAGCAGGCAGTTAAGGAGGGCCAGGCATTCTGCCCTTGACTCTTTAGAACAGGACAGATACCGAAGCTGATGGCTTAAGTTCAGCCCTGCTAAGACTGAAGGGACAGAGCAGATAAACTTTTGGTTTCTTTGCTGACCAAGAAGTCTTGGAAGTCTTGCTTGTTTGTCTTGCTCCAGCCTCTAAAATTTATCCTGTTCAGTGGCTCTGATTATCTTTCATCAGCATCACTATAGCAACACAGTCTAGAGTGGGAGTTGTGGTCAAAGAATTTTACAGCTGGAAGGGACCTTAGAAACAACAGGATCCCAGATTTAAGGTTGCAAGAGGCCCTTCAAGGTCACCTGGTCCAACACCCACACTTTAAACGTGAGGGGCCTGAAGCTCAAAGAGGTGATGAGACTTGTCCAGTTACACAGTAATTTGGAGGTGGCAGGGCTGGGCCCTACCCCAGGGCTGACTCGGAAGTGAAGGGCTTTCCCCAGTTACATACCAAGCTGCCTCTCTTATCTTTCAGTCTTTTTCCTGTATCATCATGGAAGGAAGCAAAGTGGGGCACTCTGAGAACTACCCAAAACTGAATCATAAATCTCTAGGTTTGTGGTGGGAAGCATTTCAATCATGTCTCAGCCATGGCATCTCTGCACAGCTGTCTTAAGAAGTGAGACAAGGCCCCTATCTTCAGACAACACACCAGTGCCTCTCACCTGTCATGTAGAGAGCACTAGAGTGGTGATCATGGGAACTTTACAGAATGAAGACTTGGTTTCTACCCTTAAATTTAGAGTGTGGGAGGCAGAGACACAGAGCATCTTTCAGTATAAGTACAGCAATGTTAAGGATGAGGCAGCATGGTATGGTGGAAATTTTCATGCTAGCCTTGTAACCAGAGAACTGGGGGTGTGTGTGTCAAACTACGGCTCGGTTGTTCCCTGGGTAATAATTCAACCCCTCTGGGTTTCAGTTTGTTCATGTGTAGCTTGAAGAGCTTGGACAAGATGAGCTCAAAATCGATGAATCTATATGAACAGCTAGGTATGTACGTGTATAAGATAGTATGTCATGAGACCTCATACCATGAGAGGGAAACTTCAGATATGGGTACTACCAGCGGAGACAAGGTTATTTTCTGTTTGGGGGTGTGTGTGTCTGTCTGTATCTGTATACAGGCCCTGGGCTGCCTTATAAAAATATGGGCTGGACTTTCATTTAAAGCTTTTCTTTTCTGCTCCTTCCTCTCCCACATCGGCAAAGACTTCCTAACCCTCTATGTTGTGAACGTAAAGGTGCAAAGGCTAATAAGAGCTGAGAATACCCAGTAAAGAGTGAGGGGGAGTCCCTGCTGCCTGGCCTGGGTCGTATGTAGCCAAGCAGAAAGACCAGGATAAAGAGGGGAGCTGAACTAGGAGTGGTGACTCAACATCCTTGCTTGGACTGGCGCCTTCTGATCCAGCTGCCTGTCTCCAGGCAGGACTGTACCATCTCAAGAACAGTTAACTGCAGGATTGTGAGAGTGATTCTTTTCTATTGGTGTTGAGAACATCGAAGTTCTTCATATCACAGAAATGCAGAGCAGACACGAGTTGGGCAGTCACTGAGACTCATCTATCCCTGACAAATGGTCCTCCAGCTTTTGCTCAAAGACCTTTGGTAGTTGCCAATATTGCCTGTCCCACTTTCAGACACTGAGCCTCTGAAATTCCAACTCCTTGTTTCTAGCTCTGCCCCTGGAACCAACTCTGGAATCAGGGTAATTCCCCATCCACAATTCCTAGAACAAGTATGTCACAGCATGGCCGATTTAGAGATAGAGAGGACCTCAGAGGTCGAGTCAAAACGCCTCCATTTTACAGAGGAATAAACTGAAGCTGCACCTCACCAGCTACTTGTGGGCTCTTCATCTTCCTGCGTCTGTCTTAAAAGTCTGCTGCCTTCAGCCCCACCTCTTTCTGAGAGCAGGGTCTTTGTCATGTCTTTCTATTCCTGATGCCTAGCATGTTGCCTCATGCCCAGTAAGAACTGAATATACTGTCTGTTCAGTGCCTCAAGTTTTCTAAATTCCTGGCACTTCCAAGGGCTGCCTAGTATGCTGTGCTAAGGAAGAGCCAGTAGACTACACTGGATCAACATCAAGTCCCTACTTTTCACCTTTCATTTATTTAGCACTTCCTGTGCCAGTATCTGTGCTAGGCACTTCAGGTACATACAAAAAAGGAAAGGAGTTTACATTCTATTGGGAAAAAACAACACGTACAGCGATAGTTCCAATACAGGACAACAACCATCTGGGTTCCACTACAGAATAGGTACACAGTAATTTTAGAGAGGAGGGCACTGGGGGCTTCAAGGGGAAGAGGTGAGGAGATGTCTAGAGACAGAGCAGAACTAGGGAATGAGCCTGGGCAGAGCAGCTGAAGCCAGAGAGGGGAACACTCAAGTGAGGGCACTACCAGTATAGGTCATACCTTTTCTACAACTTACAGTCTCAAGAGATACGTAGAGCATTTAGAGGTCAAAGAACTTGTCCATGGTCATACAGACCAGGGCTTCTTGAACTTTTTCTACTTGGGACCTTTTCAGCACTTGTTAAATTGTGGGTCTTGACCCCATATGGGTTTAAGAAGTGCTGAATTACATACAATATGTCAAGGGCAGGACTTGAACCCAGGTCTTCCTGATTTCTGACAGTAAACTGGCTACTGTACCTTCTTCAGTTAAGTGATATGGTCAGACATGTGCTTTTGGCAGCTGTGTGGAAGATGGGAGACTGGAAGGAGGATGACATTCAGGAAGTTACTGTAGTAGTCCAGGTGAAAGCATGAACTAGGGTGGTAGCTCTGTGAGGAGAGAGAAGGGGACAGATGGAAGAGATCCAACAAGACCTGTCAATAATTAGATACGGGATGTGAGGGGGGAGGAAAGAGTTGAAAATAATCAACAGACCTGCTTAAGGAAATAAACCTTCATAGAAGAGAGAACACATGGGGGAAAGTGTTCTATGGTAGAGGCGATCTTCTAGTGGGGTACCAAGGCCCAGTTAAAAATCTTACCTGACCTCACTTTGCTGCATCAGATAATGAAAGAGCAGGATTAAATCATTTCTTCCTTTTCTAATTGGGCTGCCTCACAATGCACTTAAAAAATGACCTTGGCGTAATCCAGCAGCCAACCTTGACTTAATGGATAGCCTTTCTCTCACTAATGGGCTCCGAGCTCATGCAGGACCATCTCCTCCCCTCAACTTCCATGAAAAACAAGTTAATGAGTCTTTTGGCCCCTATTCCAGAGTCTCCCAGCCACCACCCCCTACACATTTTAAGCCTCATGGAGAAGCAAAGGCAGCCTTCTCTTTCTAATCCTTTGTTCTTTTTAGTCTAGCAACCACTACAATAAAACTTGGGACTTCAGACAGATGCCACACACGAAGAATTATGAACGCAAGTAAATAATCAGTGTCTTTTGAGTGACACTAAACCTACCTGTAGGCCTTTTTTTTTTAAAACCTCACTTTCATTTCCAGCACCAAGAAAAGGAAACTGAGAGGCTGGCAAAGAACAACTTGTCCATAAAGAGCTGTAATATATGGAAATCTCATTTGTTTTCTCATTTACTATCTAGGGTTAAAGCTTAGCACCTCAAGAATCTGGCTCAAATACTTCTCATTCTTATGTTCTGTTCCCAAGTGATGACACCTCCAAAGACCACAAATCTCTTTATTGATGATCATGATGCAGGTGGTGGGCCGGCCATCTGTGGCCCACACAGTATAGAGAGATCCTAGGGATGCTAGTTAGGACTTCCATTTCTGTTCATTCAGAGGGGTCTGCCTGACTCTCTGTTTGGAAGATGCCCCGTGGTAAATTCCAATCCTCCTCATATCTCCAGACTCTGGTGCTTCCTAAGCAGGTCTGCAGTAAGGACACTGGATGGACAGCGAAAGGTGCTAGAAACACCCACGATGCAGTTGGCAAACACAGGGAAAGTGATGTGGCGTTCTCTCTGATGCCCTTGTACACTTAGACTCCAAACTAAGTCACAGTAAGGGAAGCAAGATCAAGGGTAGATCTATCTCTGCTCCACTGATTCCAGAGCAGGTACCTGGAAGGTATCTGGCTGCCACAGGTGGAAAAAGAAGTTTCTTACTGGTAGGGTCCATTTACTTGGCAGCTTGCTGGGCTAACCAATGCTTGTATCTCTTGGTCTTTGGCTTCTCAAAATTCACCACAGACATGGGGACCCTCACTGTGTCAAGCCCATTCACCTGTACATAAACAGACAGGACAACCAAGGATTGGAAATGACATCATCCCAAGACACCATTTAGCATCACCTTTTCAATTTGGTTTTCAATTAGAACAAGAAAAAGGATTCATGCAAAGGGGAAACTCACCGTCACCTCACACCAGTACTCGCCCCACCTTGTGATTGGCTCTTCAGGTAGCTTTAGGGAATGTGGAGATACTACCACGCCAAGCTGCAAGACAGCATTCAGTCTCATTGCTAATGTAAATTGCATATGTAAACCCTATCACAAAACTGCCATTAGAGAAAAGCCTCACCAAACTACTTCCAAAATTT